CTTCTCAAAGGGGAATCAACATCCATAATTAAACATAGATTTTATTTATGAACAACGTTATACATGATGTATGCTAAAAAAGAAACAAACCAAAGAAAACCACAACCATAAAAGAAAAGGTAATCACACATAGAAGTTAGAGAGGAGTAGGATTATTAACTATTCTACACTTAAGACCTCTAACTATCTATAACTCCTATTCGTCAAACCATCCACCACTGCCTTCTGTGGGATTAGCAAATAACGATGGAGGGGGAAAGTGGTTGCGGCCGAGGAGGGGAGGGAGCTAGGGTTCTCCGGAGACGGTGAGCAGCGGCGGAGGGGTTAATTTGATGTGTGGATGGGTTGGCGACTAGGGCGGCGGTGGCACGGTTAGGTCGTGAAGGCGATTGGGATGATGAGAGTTAGACATGGGTAGGGGAGGGGTTTTAAAGCATCTACGAGGTACCTAGATGGATTCCAACAGCTTGCCGACCTTTGGCAAGGCACGGAGTATACTTGCCGACGAGCGCCTCCATAGGTGATGGCCGTGCTCACGTCGGCAGCCCAGAGGGCGGCAAGGTAGTGCAAACCGATTGCAAAAATGGACTCTAGGTAGTATGTAGATGGTTGAAATGGAAGAACTCACCGAGATATGCCGAGATGAAGGATTGCGGCCGGAAAAACTTCTCGGCGGCAAGAACAGAGCAGCGCGGGGGCGGTGGTGCTCGGCTTGGTGCGGCGAGGTAAAACTCGACACAGAGCTTTGGGTAGGGCTTAGTATACTAGAACATGGTTGATATAAGGTGTTCTATGGGGTATTTAGGGCGGAGGATGGATGGAGGGCTGTGGAGTCGATCGCGCACAAGGTGTTCGACCGACGGATGATGGTGGTTGATGAGATGGATTGGTGAAGCAGAGCTTCGGGGTTGTGGGGCTATGGTTGTTGATGATCGATGATGGACAAGGAAGGGATTGGGGTCCTATTTATAGGTCTAGAAGGAGTGGATGAGCTCGGGCACCGTCATCGCCATGGATGAGCTCAAAGATTTGATATGGCTGGGGCAGCAGAGGCTGTGAGAGGCCGGCCAAGATCACTTTGAGTGGCGGGAGGCCACGTTTGAATACTTACCGGCGAAGGATTGGCTTGACCGCGTGTGAAATCGGCTGGCGACGTGTCGGCGCCAATCCGGACGCGACGCGCGGCAGCGGCGAGGGTGAAAACAACCGACTCGGGGGTGAATGGTTTGAATTGTGAGAGGGGATACCACCGTCTATCTTCAATCCAACCGTGCGGCAAGAATTGGCGTGATTTATCCCGGGTAGAAGCGAAATCACACTCGGCGGCGGCTTGGACGGGAGCGCACGGCGTTGAGCGGCGATTTCTGGTGGCAATTGTTATCCCGGCTTTGTCGTCGTCAAGATTGGTGCGGCGATGGCGGTCTGAGGGCGTCGAACGGCTAGCGGCGCGCCAAGGCGATCGGGCACGCGCAAGCGGCCCCGAGGTCGACGCGCGGCGACACGGCGCGCGGCAAAGTCGGACGACCGGGCGGCGCGCGTGAAGGGGAGGAAGAGGCAAAGAAATCCACGGTTTTTTAGTAGGGTGTGGTCCCCTAGGATCAATTCTAGACTTTGCACAATATTGGGTAGTGATCGGGCTGCTCTAGCTAGGCTGGGCATTTCATCAAGCACCTTGAGTGCGATGAACAGTGAATTTCAGAAATTTTGAATATTTTCTTAGGAAAGAATGAATTTAAACTATGAATTTGGAAAGGTTTCACTAGGGTTTGAAGTGTAGCAAATCCTCACTAAAATTAGGGTAAGCTAAGGAAATAATCTATAGTTTGAAATTTGAGAGAATTTGCTCTTCACTAAGGTTTGGAATTAAAGGAATAGTTAGGATAAATTAGTAGAGTTCTAAAGAAGTAATACTTGAACCAATTTAAGAATCAAATAGATTTTTTTTAAACACACTAATTTAATCAAAAGCCAGCATGATGCAGTTAAATTTTAGTTTAAAATTTGACGATGTTACAATGAAATAAATTGGTAGCATTGATTTTCTTTAAAGAGATGTAAAATAGATATGATGACAAATGCCCCTTGTCCAACCAGGCTGCAATTATTACTCTATAAACATTTTTACACCAGAGCTTCAGCCAAAATAAAAACATGTCTGATTATACAGGCTAGGAGATTGCTCGTTCGGTTTGGAGGGGATTAAGGGGTGTTAGCTTATAAATTAACCATAATAGGTGTTCTTTCCACATCACAATAGGTGTTTTTTAGATTAACTAAACATGGCCTTAAATAAAAAAAAATGGTGCACATACTTATAGCCATAGTACAAACATCAGGTAAACAGTACCAAGCAACCGAATTTAATAGCAGGTGGCTAGTGCATTTAATGATATGACCACGCTTAATTTATACTCCCTCAATTAATATTCATTGTGCATTTAATTCATTTAATGATAACACCAAGGTTCATAGCCTTTGAGCGAGTGTGCAGCACAACAATTAAATTTGTGCCCTGTATCTATCTCCTCGTATCAAACATTGAGGTGCGGAAAACCTAATCATCAAGATCACGTCATTGTACAATGGGAATTACAGTATTACACCAAAGAAAACCGACGCACAGATTTTTTTTTTCAACCAGCATCAGTTGGCATCACTTTCTGTATAAGAGCATTCCTGGTAGCTCACCTAAATTTGATTCTTTGTATTCGCATATGGATGGTCATCCAAAAAGATTCCTCCATACCCTTCCACTTCAACAGATTATCCATATTACATCCTTCATATCACACTCTGCTATATTTTACTAAGAGTAAAGTGCACGTGCGGTCCTTAAACTTGTAGCGATGTGTCGTCTAGGTCCCCAAACTCTCAAAATACATATCCAGATCCTAGAACTTGTCAAAGTGTATCATCTAGGTCCCAAATCGACACATCCCCTCTCGAATCCTACGTGGCGCTACGTGACCTGCCACATGGACGTGACATGTCCTTTTCTTTCTTATTTTCTTTTTCTTTTCCGTTTTCTTCTCATTCTTCTTTTTTTCCCTTTCTTCTGCTCTGGTCACAGAGAAAGGAGAAGAAAAGAAAATATAAGAGAAGAAAAAAGAAAAAAGAAAATTTTTAAATGGGTCCCATTTGTCTATCAAAATTATGCCACATCATGTTCGTGTGACATGCCACATCAGCGCCACGTAGGATCCTGAAGGGGCTGTGGCGATTTGGGACTTAGATGACACACTATGATAAGTTCTAGTACCTGGATATGTATTTTGAAAGTTTAGGGACCTAAATGAAACACTGCTACAAGTTTAAGGACCGCCCGTACACATTACTCTTTTACTAATATCTTCCAACTACGAATAAACTATACAAACTTCTATATCATCATTCTCACATTTATCTTTCTCTTCTCTCTCTCTCACAACAGTGATGGAAGTGACGGCGGAGGGGGAGATGCAGTGGGAGTGACAACGGAAGGCATAGGCGGAGGGGGAGATTAGGCGGGAGCGATGGTGGAAAGTGTGGGCAAAGGGGGATGGAGCGACAGCGGAAAGCATGGAGGGGCAATGGCAACAACGGATGCCGCATCTTGGCGTAGGCGATGGCGTGGAGGGCACAACATCTTGGTGCGGGCGATGACGTGCAAGGGTGATGATAGGAGCTTCCGACGCCGCTGGGTGGCGCAGATGGGTGCATGGCTTCCGCTGCCACCTATGCTACCGGTGGCACAACTGCTACAGCGGTCCACCTCCAGATCTAGTGCGCCCCTCCCTCTCTACCCTCACTCCTCCATAGTTACACCCTCCCTCTCCTCCCTCTCCACCCGCCGTCATGGCCAGCGACGATGACGACAGAGGATAGGTTGATCAGAACTCTGGGATGGGGGCAGGATATGGCCTCTCTCCTGTTTAGTGCATGTACTATTTTTGGATTGCTCAATATCTATTGGAGGCCGAATTTACTCTCACTTGTGCTATTTCTCATATGGAGAATGGGATGCCCCATCTGTTGGGATGCTCTAAGGCTAAGTTCGGCACCCCAGGTTCCCAACCCAAACATCCAATACGGATAACGGAGCAATCCATTAGCACGTGATTAATTAAGTGTTAGCTATTTTTTTTCAAAAATGGATTAATTTGATTTTTTTAAGCAACTTTTGTATAGAAACTTTTTTGCAAAAAAACGCATCGTTTAGAAGTTTGAAAAACGTACATGTGGAAAATGAGAGAGGGGTTAGGAACATGGGTTGCCGAACACACCCTAAATCACTTAAAAGTGTCGAGCTTTGCTCCAAAAAATAAACTAATGAACCGGAAGACAAAAAGGCGTGAAAAATAGAGGCACTGCAAATCTACAAGCCAAGCCTCAAAAATTGAATCCTGATTGTGAAAAAACAAAGCAACTCTCATTTCTCTTTTCTACCTTGATAATCTAACGTGAGAGTCACTAAAGTGTGTTATTACAGGTTTATCGTAGTTACTCGTGGCTCATATGCAACCTTGTCGACGTGCACAATCCTACCAGGGCACAAGCATCTAGGCCGCCATAGCTAGATGGCTGGTCCAGTGGCCAGCTGAAGAGAGTAGAAATGTTGGTAAGCATGGGCATTTTTTTGTCGTTTGCCTTAACCAAAAGAATTTATGGTAATGTATGGTAATAGTAAAATTAACTGCGCCCTCTTATCTCAAATTCAAAAATTTTCACGCGAATTAAGAAAAGAGGTGAATTAAATGGAGAAGACTATTGTGATTGATTAAAATGATAAAATAGATAGAGAAATTAATTAAGACATAATTGTGATTGCTTAAAATAAGGGAAAATACAAATGTTAGAAGCAGCTGTATTTTGAAAGGGTAGGTAACACTGGTAGCACGTGCAGAAAATTTAATTGCGAAAGCGAGCAGGAGATTCCATGGGTGAAATCGATCAAATGACTAGAAGTATCAGTTGGTCGCACTTCATGAAATCTTCAATCTTTTGGCAGCAACCACGCAATCTGTTACAAAATTCATCTTCTTCCCAAATCCGAAGTAAAGGCTACACTATACACCCATTTTTCTGCGAAGTAGTTAGGCTAGTATAATACAGAACACAACTGATCTTCAATGGCACTTTTATCAGAAGCAGAACCGGTATCAAACAATGTTCGAATTAAATAACATGATAAAACACGGAGGTACTTTAGTTGAACTGTTATTATTAATCTGAATCGCAGAAGGGATTTTTTTTTCCTTTTTACTATTCCGCTACCTAGATGAAAAGGCACGTAGTGCAATACGAATTAAAAGTTCCGTAATTGCATTCCCTAAAAATGCCATGATCTAACTTATTTTCCTTGCTATTAATATGAAAGGGACGAGCACATGTGATATGTTCAGTGTAGCCTCGCACCAGTTGAAAACGAAATAAAGCAACCGCATGTGTGTCTGATGTTATCAAAGTTTAGGCCTCATTGAATTTGAAGACGCAATCATAAAGCCTCCCACCCAAAAATTGCGCCACTTCAGGATGTTTTACCTGGAACATGGAAGAAATGATGGCAGTTTTTAAAGCTCAATCATTGATTAACTTGCAATGAACTATTCAATACAAATTATAAAATCGCAGAGAAATGCAACACACCATTCCGATCTTAATCGAGTCACATTTCATTTGTGCATATAGGTTGGTTTCAATTGCTCTTCCCTGTAACAAAAAAGAGTTGAAAAGTGATGGGCTTTTAGCCCTGTGAAGGCAAACAGATGTGAATGTTGCAAGCCCACTTACCATGCCTTCTAGAACGACCAAGTCAGCATCATTTGCCAAATAAGCTAGTTCTGGTGACACACTGGACAAATCAATTACCTGAGACCAAGACAGATATCCAGTTAAGAACTTACACATATAATACAATGCAATAGGTAAAATAGTTTAGTACACCACCATAGTAAGATAATCTTACTGGCAAATCGTTACCGGAGTTGGCAACGAGTAGGTCAGATGCATCCACACCTGCAAGCTTTCCATTTTCATCCTTGAGCTGAAAATAATTGCAAGAGTATAATTCATAATCTTTTCTCAGATCCCCGCAAAAGAAAAAAAAACATGTCTCACAATTATAACAATTTCATGTTTCTTACCTTGTTTATAATTTCAACAAGCTCTGGGTAAGTGACATCATTGATTGATGGCATGTCATTGGCAGCAAGAATCACCTACACAATCCAACGGTAGCTATTTATTGACATTCTTTACCAACAGAAAAAGATAGCAAATCTCAAACAATATATGCAAAAGACACTCTCGAAATAGCTAGAGATGTACATATGAAGGCAACTTCAGCAACTACCGAAAGAAAAAAAGAACTATATCAATTTTACTCATGGATAAAGATAAAGACATCATTTAAAAATTCACATGGATTTAACAGTGTAGTTTCCATGCGAATTGGAAAAAAAACAATGTGCTCAAAAGGGAATAAGATGCAGTCTGGACTGGTAAAAAATCATAAGTTTATTTGGTTGTTCCTGTTTCTTGTTTAAGCTGTGGGTTATCTCACATTTAGCAACTTAAATCACAATACTATTTCACATATCCAAAAATATGATCCACTTCAATGTAATCAGAGGTTCATTTCGATCGATCTTTTTACATTTAACTCCCTAAAAATAGCGCAACATTAATAATGTGTTGCTGGCTGGAACAAATAGCAACATCTGCTCTTGTCCTAACATAATTCCTCAAATAGTTCTGGAGCAATCACAAGAGAAACAAAAAGGGTGAGACAGACCTTTGTGCCATGTCGGAGCAATTCCCTTGCAAATGGTAATATGCCCAAGATGATATCAGCGCCAGAATTATCAACAAAAATAACAGCCTACATATGTGACAAAGCAATGATTCAGCTATGTATAACAAAGACATAACAATGTTAGTTAATATGCAATATCCCTACAATAAATATGTCCAGAACTCCAGCTGAAAGATTATTATGAATAGCTCAGACTGACATGTACATATATGGACTACACAAGGCCAGGTGTTGTGTATGTCAAGAACTAATACTAAATATACTAATAAAATATAAATGTCAATAACAAATAAATTAATAAATCTAAAATAAATTGACACCTTGGATACCATTGGGAGAATTATTTGATACTTATCCACAACATGAGAAGAATACATGTGAAAAAGTTGCAGCATGGGAGTAACAAGTAAGAATATTAATTATTTAAGTTACACAGTAGTTACAAACTTCAAAACAATATTGTTTCAAAAGAAGTGGGAGAGTTTCTAATATGCTTTAATAAGAACCAAAAGAGTACATGAACATTTGTAGAGTACATTATACATGTGTACGTACAATAATTCTGAACCAATAGAATTCTATTCTTGCATCCAGGCTCATACATAATATTTATACATGATGCAAAACTAAAACAATACTAAAAGCATGGTAGCAGTATCTTATATCTAGGTTTGTTGCACCCAGTTGATGTGTGCCATGGGATTGCGGTAAAGTTTATAATGGAAGATAATTTTTACCTTTTCCCAAGATTTCTTAGTCCATTTATTTTGAAATGCATCCAGGTCATCGATAACCCAAGGTCGAGATACAAGATTCTGGCAACTCGCTAAGAAGGACATACCGTCTTTAGCAAAAACTTCTGCAAGCTAAGAGAAGTGAAAGAAAACAGAGACATTAGAGGCAGGGCGACATATGTAAACCTTCTGAGAAGGAAATAATGAAATAATGAACATAAGAGCATTTCATCAACAACAAACCAATTATTCAAAAAATCAGAAGGAAATAATGAAGAAAATTTTGTTGGTTCTGCCCTTCACGCTGATTGGCCTTTCACACTAAGCCAATGGTGCACCAACAGAAACTACGGAAAACCCTTTGTGAAGCCCTATCCACAGGAAAAGGTCAACAAAAATAATCATCAAGTGACAAAACATACCTGTGCAGATCCTAAGTCAAATATGTTTCCTGCTAAGATTCCACGGATCAAGTTCTCTGCTCGTTTTCCATCATCTTCAATCTCATCATTTCGCTGAACAACGCCCTCAAAGAGTGACATAGCCTTAGCATTCTCCTCATCCTAATCATGGAAAATCATCAATCAAGCATAGATAATTACAACCATGTAAAATTGTCACGACAATAGACTCCAAAGTAGTATTTGAAGACAAGAAAAACCTTTGTTGGCATTTACCTTAACCTTCTTGAATATATCCCTAAATCCCAGTTCTCTAAGGACTAGCTCACGAAGCCTGCAAAGAAGCTTGAGATTCATTCGAAGAGTTAGTGCACAGTAATCCAAGATCTTCTTTTGTAGTTCAAAGAGCTCATCTATCAATATCTTACAATGCAATCTGGTGGCCCTCCATTACTCTCTGGGTTCTTCTTCAACTCCTCGAGCATTGCAGTGTACCTTCACCATATATACAATAGATAGACATAATAAAATGTTAGAGCATTGCCCAGTAGTTGGTTTGGTTAATATTAATCTGGAGAAAATGCACGACGCAAAGACATGCTTGTTCCGGAAGCAGTAAAAGAGCCATGGGACCAAATGGTAATTAAATGTCTGATTCTTGAAACATAAAATTGGACTATATTCATAAGTCATGACAAAGAAAAACAATATAAATGGAGACAATTTCATTTTCCAGACAAATATTGTATGACCAAAATAAAATGGGCACAACTTTTCTGGTGATGGCCAAATTAGTATTGCCTCCAGTAAAAGAGGAATGTTTTACTTTTCAGTAACAATTTATGCCACCTTGAAACTGAACTTTGTTAGGACTAATTTGAAAAGAGTTGTGAATATTTTTCATGATGGATTGCTTGCACCATTTTCATATATACCAAAACTATGTATTTTTAGGAATATTGTCCAAATAAACATGTTTTTACTACACCCTATTCTAGGATGACATGTCTTTTAGCACAGAGGGGTAATAACATCTGGGGGTTATTTGGCACATTCAAATGGATGCACATCCAAATTCCAGTTTCCCAGGACCAACGAGTGCCTTCCTCCATAATTTTATTTATCAGGGTAACACAAATGGCACATTCCACAACACTAATATAAAGACTGGAAGGGTGATTATGTTTCCAATTCATAAAGACTAAAATTGTGCAATACTTTGGCTGCAAAACATGGCAAGAAAAGGATAAGTAGTGCTAACCTCAATCCGTAAACTAAACACAAGGGGATATTACCATGGTTCGACACATGCTAAACACACCAGGCATACCTTTGAGACCAAGAATGAGTGAAAACTCCATATTAAAGGGTCTTTTCGCACATTATATGTTTGATGCCCCGGAAATGCATCCACACCCAAAAATAGAAACAAAGTACTACTCTATCTCAGGCAAACAAGCATGTACCATCCACCACTACCTACCAGTACCTTTACCTTGAGTTCCAGGAGACAAACGTGCGCAATCATCAACCAATCATCGATCACTAACCAAAGCGGATGCGCACATACCTCTGGGCAAACTTCTCGGCCTTGGCGGGCGCATCGGGCACCGTGGGGTCGTTCTCCGCGCGCTGCCTGCGTTGCGGGAGATCAAAATCAACACGGACCGAGTAGAGCTCAGAATCCGCCGCGGGCGGCAGGGGGCAAGGAGGCCTTCCTTACCTGAAGGAGGGGACGGAGTTGAGGAAGAGGTCGATCCACTGGATCTCGACGGGGGTGGCCTTTCGCGGGTTGTCGGAGGCGAAGCGGTAGGGGATGGTGCAGGCCCTGTACGTGCTCTCCACCGGCGCCTGCAGCAGCGGGAACGGCACCGACGGCGACGAGCTCTCCATGTGCTCCGGCTTACTAGTCAGATCGCTCCTCCTGCTCGTCGGCGGCGGCGGCTGGGATTCGTGGGGTGGTTAGGTAACCGCCTAAACTTGGGGCGCCGTGAGATCCGGCGGTGAAGTGGTTATTCTGCACGCGAGGAAGACGGAGGAGAAGGCGAAGGGGAAGCAACCGCCGCTCGCCACAGATGCATATTCTGCTCACGTAACATGGGCTTTAGAGGCCGAAATGGCCTAATGCCTGGCCCATTAGACTGTGGCTTTGCAGAGAGAAGAAGTTCACTATGGCTCCCTCTATTTGTCGCCCATCCGATTTTCGCCCCTTGGTCACAAAACCGAGTATGATGGGTCCCCAACTTACGAAACCGTCTAAATGAGGTCCCTCGGTAGTATTGTGCCTGGTTTTCTATTGAGGTGGCGCCTACGTGACTCCTTTTGCCTAGGTCTTTGTCCAATGTGTAATTGACAAGGCTGAGAGCTATTGCAAATGCAACTTAGAATTGAATTCAACACACTCTGATGCTTTGTATCATTGCTAAATCACAAATAAGGTTCCAGATTACCAAAGCACGTGTCGTTTTGCAAGTTTAATGCTGACACTGTCACCATCTAATCTCAGGATGAACCAATTTGCAGGAATTATCTGTGATGATTCGTGTGCAAGTAACCGACGAGATTCAGTAATTAGACTTTCAGAATTAAGAGATTGACTGGTACCGCATTGGCAGATCTATCCAATTCAACATTGCTTCCTATCATTGCTAAATCACAAACAAGGCATCAAATTACCAAAGCTTTTATGGTTTTGCAAAGTTTAATGCTGACATTGTCACCATCTAATCACATAGAATTAATTATCTGTGAGGATTCGTGTGCAAATGTCTGACGAAATTAACAAGCAAGGAATTGGGAGGGCTCACCTCCATCGCCTGAGAGCATCTCCAACTGAATGACTATTTTTGACTCCAAATACCTATTTGGCTAGCCCGATAAAAATTTAGAGAGTCAAGTTTGTCTTCTATTCCAACAGACTCTCCACATTCCACTCTCTAATAACCAATGGACCCCACATGTGATTCTCCTTCTCTTTCTTCTTCCTCCCCCTCTCTCCAATCCTCTGCTCGTGCTCCTGCTCGTGCCAGGCGACGGCGAAAGTGAGGAAAGCAAGGTGACAGCGTGGCCGACGGCGGCGGTCGCGGCCGGCGACGACGTGGACGACGGCAGAGGTCGTGGACGGCGGCGGAGGTTGCGGCGGGCGACGGCGCGGATGATGGTGACGCTGCGGAGGCGGTGGCGAAGGCGTCGAGCCGCCCCGCCGCCGCTCCCTCCCTCCCTCGCTGCACTAGGATGCTGACGACGGCGGCGCTGTGTCGGTAGATCGAGGACGACGGCGTGGGCGTGCAGATTAGGACGAGAAGGAGCCGCTGCGAGGAAAGGGAGGCGATGGCGCAGCCGACGGTGGCGGTCTCGGCCGGCGATGGCGCGGACGACAGCAGAGGGCGCGGACGGCAGCGGCGGTTGCGGCGGGTGACGGCGCGGCCGACGAAGGTCGAGGCCGGTGCTTGCGTGGCCGGCGACAGTGCGGACGATGGCGGAGGTTGCAGCCGGCGAGGGCGCGGACAGCGGCGGCCGTGAGCCCTCGCGTCCTCGTCGTCGAGCCGCCTCACCGTTGCGCCCCGCTGTCGCGCCCCGCCGTCGAGCCGCCTCGCCGTCGAGCCGTCGCGCCCTCGCCGTGAGCCGTCTCGCTTCTCGCGGGCCTTCGTCGCCCCTCCCTCACCGTTGCCCCGATCCATCTCCCATGCGTGTTTTCGTGGGGACCACCGTTAGCCAGTGACTTCGGCTGGCCAAATTTGGCTAAGGGAGGGAGTGTTTTGGCCAGCCAGATGGCTTGGCCATCCAGTTGGAGAGGCTGTTGGAGGAGTTTATTTTTTTGCTAGAGTAGCTAAAATTTGGCTTGGAGAGGCTGTTGGAGATGCTCTGAGAAGCGCGAGGGAGGCACTGTGGCCTGGCCTGCCCTTGCGGCTGCTTTTGAGAGAGGTAGCCCGGCTAACGAATGGGGATGCTCTTCGGTGCGGCCCCCCATGTGCTGCTTCCGCGAGTAGAGCGGCTTCGCTTGCGTCTCTCCTCTCCCACCCGACTCCGCCGCTCCTCTCCCACCCCGCCGTCGCCCGCTCTGGCTACCGCTCCGCCCTGCCGTCGTCTGCTCCGCCACTCCGGCCGCCGTCCATCCTGCTCCGCTGGCTGGAGAGCGATAGAAGAGGGAGAGAGGAGAAAGAGAGAGGGGGACAGAGAGAAGAGGGTAGTGAGGATGACGTGTGGGTCCTCATGTGCCCACCATTTTTTATTATTTGTGTGCGACTGACATATGGGTCCCATGAGTTTTATTATTTTTTGCGGATACAATTGCCACGTAAGTGCCACGTCAATGACAAGTTGAACAAAGACCTAGTCAAAGGAGGCACGTAGGCGTCACCTCAGCAAAAACCGGACACAATACTGCTGAGGGACCTCATTTAAACGGTTTCGTAAGTTGGGGGACCCGTCGTACCTGGTTTTATGATTAAGGGACAAAAATCGTACTGGGCGACAAATAGAGAGACCCACAGTGAACTTATTCCTTGCAGAGAGGAGGGGAAAAAGTTCACTGTAACTCCCTTAAAAATTTGGCCGAATCTAATTCGTACCCCTCAACTAGGAAACCAGATAAGGTGACTTCCCCAACTATTAAAACCAGTACAATTTGACTCCCTCAGGGTCTTGCTCGGTTAATCTCCATGAGAGAGGGATTGGAGGGGATTTATGATGGTAAACCTACGGATTTTCAGCCTACAAGATTGTCACATCCTGCTTTTCGTTTCAGGATTTATAAATTATTTAATAAATTATTATTAGAATTTATATTAAATGTTCATTAATTTACAAGTGAAGTTAAATGTGGAAAATAAAATTTCGTAAATATAAAGCATGGTTGGATTTAATTTTTATTAAATTCTCCATGATTAATTATACTCTCTAAAATTTTCTCGGATTTTTCAGAGCTCAATTACTAATTTTAATAATACAAAGAATAGTTCAGCAATTATTTAAATATTAAATTAGTCATTAAATGATCTGATCTTAATTTTGTTAAATACTCTAAGTGTCCAAGTAGTTGCGAGTTTTTTCTTGAAATTATTTGAGCGTTTGAAGTATTTTTAACGATTCAAAGATCATTTCAGTGATTAGTTTGATTGGAAAAGTAATTAAATCCCCTTTTCCTTCTCTAAAATAAATCGTGAATTAAATCCGATTAATCTTGTAAAATTCATAACTAAATCATATGAAGTTGGAATGAGGCCGTTCAAGTCTCGTAATTCATCTAAATTCATGATCTACATGTTTGTTTACTTTTTATGTACTGTTTATTTCGAGTTTCTTAGTATTTTTCCTCGTTTTGCGTGTTAGCTTGTCATTTCCGTCGTTTCGAAGGTTTCTGAGTGCGTCGGAAGTGGTTCAAGAAGACTAATTCAAGACCGATTATTGCAAGGCAAGTCACACAGATCCTAAACACATTTCCTTTGAACATGTTGATCCTATATTTAAATTCTCTATTTGTTTCAACTGTGCATTTATTTTCGAATGTCACCGGGTGGTGTGAACCTATTCCTTTATTATGGCCAATTTGCATTGATTACTCTATTCCTTGATACCTTGGGTAATTGGACTAGTTGAGCTTTATATATTGGTTCAACTAGATGTTAGACATAATTGCTTACCCATGCTTAGAAACATTAGCACATGATTAGGATAACTAATGCTACACTACCACTTATGATTATATTTAATGGTAGCTCACGATGGTCAATCGTGATTGGTTAATTAATTACTTGCCAACTAAAACTTGACAATGGTGGGTTGTGAGCACATAGTTTTGAAGGTCATGCTCATGACAATTAAGGACCGGTTCGCGAGTTACTCTTGTGAGACATTAACCGTGCCAACCACAAGCCAGCGTGGGCAACGGATTTACCTTTTGTATAGCATGGTTCATTGCGGGGCACCGGACTGTGAAGCGGCGAGAAGTCCGTGGGGGTCGCTGCGGAGTCCATGCCTCTGGATATTGAGGGGTGATTATGATCCAGGAACGGTGCGCTATGGTGGATTGCGTTGTATAAGGGGTACTGTCACAATCCCGTTTCGAGGTACCGTGGTGGTACTGAGGGCATGGTAAGATGTTTTGGGGCTATATCCTGTGGGTACAATGGTACACCTTTGGCCAGAGTAAAACTATTCGAATAGCCGTGCCCGCGGTCATGGGCGGGTTGAGCAATGTTTTTCGTGATTAGTCTCATACCTCTTACAATAATTATTGATGATATAACTGGTAATAATTTGCTTAGCTCCTGGTTTGGAGTTAGATCTGTACAGTCGGGTATGGTTGTTTAGGATGGTTGGGCCTGTGCAGCATGGGTGTTGACGGTCGTTATCGATCAGTTTCGATCGTCAATATTACCAAAATAGAGGAGAACTAGTTATGCTTGCAATGCATATACAAGTTAGAATAATAATATTCCACTAGTATTAGTATTAGGTTCACTAACCTTTTGCAGAAAATAACCATAAAGTGGAGGAGAACCGACATCAACTTAGACGATAAATCAATCGGACGATGTCGAGAACCAGACTTATGCATGAATGGGCTAAGAACTCAGAATTGACACGATGAATTGGGCCAAAATTCACAAGTCTACGAAGTGAAGCAACGGAGGAGGCCGCCAGCCAAAACTTGGGCTGGTTGGGCCGGCCCCTGGTTCGGCCGAACCTCCCTCGCCGTCGTTGGATGCAGTGCTTTTTCTGGACAGTTGGGCTTGATCCCCAATGATGGTTGGAGGGTATTACTGACCATTCCAACCGTCACAACCGTCATTACCTGCCTATAAAAGAAGCTCATCTTCTTACTTCACTCATACACCTCAAGCAAGAGCTCTCTCATATTCTCTCAAGTTAGTTTAGTATTCTTATGCTAGTGGAATAGGAATAGAGTAAAAATCAGGAGTCCGGAAGTCTTCGGAAGAGTTCGGGTATGGCTCTAGTAGCTCTTCTCTTCTCTTTTGTAAGCTTTATACTTTATTTAGAATACTCTTCTATATACATTTATGGTATTGAATTACTTTCTGAGTATATGAATACCTACTTTA